GGGGTTTTCCCACTTCCTGAAATCCAGGCTTAAATAAGATACTGGGAAGCGCAAGGCAGAAAACGGAATTTCTCTGCAAACTCCTGGTGCAAGGTTATTAATTCCTGCCATCAGCAGGACAAACTGGGAGGGACTCTCTGTGTGTGTGTATGTGGGGGGGGACACACATGGCTACGGTAATTCCAGCTTTTTTCTCCCTCAGCAAGAGGACCAGGCACTGACAGGACAAGGGGGAATGACTCTAAAAATCCTTTTCCGTACTGTGAGTCCAGGAGACCCATTTAGAGTGGAGAAAAGTTCATTTTCTAGTTACTGTCCATCCAGCAAACCAGGGGCTGCTGGTTTTGAACAACATAAGTATTACTCTTCTCTGTTTCCCGTGTCTTATTTCTGGTTGTAGATGCCACTCTCTTTAGGAACCTGTGCTCTCCAGGCTTAGTGTGGTGCCTTTGGGCAGCTCACCCTGCAGTTTTCCAGCTCTGGATTCCTCCTCTGGAAAGCTCTTTTTCCACAAGTGCTACCTCAGCTTTCCTCCTCCCATGGCAGGCACGTCCAGGCAAGAAAATGGAAATATTTTCTAGTTATATGATGAGCCACCTAAGCAGATGTGGATTTCCTGATGCTCCCCCCACTATGATCCTGGAGAACAACATATGTATTGTGCAAAACTCCTTGATTTTTAAACACTATTTTAGGGGGAAAAAGCCCAGCCTTTTAGGCCAGGAGGCTGATCCTTACACAGTGCAGGTGGCTGGTTGCTGCGCTGCCCTTGTTTATCTTTGTTCCCCCATCCCTGCCTTTCCTGAGTTAATTGCTGCTGTGCTGGGATTTAATGAACGTGCTTTGGCTCAGCCCGTGGGAAGTGCAGTCCTTGGGTGACCCCTGAGCCTTGAGGATGGTGAGAGCAGCGCTGATATTCACCTGAAAAAGCAACAAAATAAGTTTGGGGGACGTGGAAAAACCAGGACAGAGAAGTCCTTTCTGTTTGGAGCCTTTATCGGGTTGGAAATAACTCCTTCATTTTCCCTCTGAGGAGGGAACGTTCCCCTGGGTGTTATCAGAGAAAACAGGGAGTGATAAAATCCTTCTTCCTGCTTGTGGAAACATCAAAAGCTGGGCCTTTTTAGTCTCTATTTGTATCCATCCTTAGATGTATTTGTGGGGTTGGAAAGGGTTTGAGATCAGCGTGGAAACAACTCGAAAAACACAGATGGACAAGTGCTTGCCAAAGGGACCTGTCCTGCTGCAGCTGAAGGGGGTTTATCCCAAGGTGTTATTTCTATTTATGCTGCTTTTCCCGTCCTTTCTGTTCCTCCAGGACATCCTGGAACAGCTCAGATGTTTTAGAGCATGGCCTGTGTTAAATAATTCCCGGTGTCCAGGCCCTGTGGTGCTTCAGGCCGCTCATAAACTGCTCCATTCCTGGGATTTCAGTGCAAAATTAATCTCCAGCACAGCACAATTCCAGCAGCCTTTCTGCTCTAAGCTGCCAGGCTGAACTTCACCCTGTAGTTCTTTTATAGAGAGTAAATTTTCTAGGGAATAGCAAAAAAAAAAAAAAAAAAAAAAAAAAAAAAAAAAAA